AGTGGCCCCACAGCCTGCCCGGGCAGGACCCGGCCCACGGTGCCGTCCCCAAGCCTGGCAACGCCAGGGGAGCGAGGAGCACCCCCGCAGGCAGACCCCACCGTGCTGAGGGGATCCACAGGGCCTGGGCTCCCCAAGACCCCACGGGCAGTGCCGCAGACAGACAGACAGACCCCCAGCTCCTGGCCTTGCTTACCAAGATTTATTGATTTGCAGGGGAGGACGGGGGCACTGGCCCCAGCTCCCCCAGCAAGCAGGCAGGGAGGCAGGACGAGGTGCAGGCAGAGTGGGGCACTGGCCAGCCCTTTACCCCACGGCCAGTGCCGCCGGAAGTGGCATGGGCATGCAGGGAGGCACCACTGACACCAGGAAAGGCAGGAGACACCCAGGCACGAGGCTCTGCTGTCAACCAGGCAAGGGGGACATGACCATCAGGGCAGTGGCCTGGACCCAGATTTTGAGGGTAAAGCCAGGACACAGGTATCACCATTGGTCCAGCCCTGAGCACAGCCAACATGGCATGGTGCCAGCTGGGTCCCTGGCACACTGGCAGGCATTTGCTGTGCCCACCCTCTGCCCACTTTTTAAAGCCCTGCACCCCACTGCTTGGCACCCCCACATCCCAGCCCTCGCGAGAGCGCTCAGCCCTCGGCAGGCAGCGGGGGCACCGATGCCAGGGCCGGCAGGAGGCGGGCATAGATATCGATGCCCCGCAGGAAGACTTGCTCATTGAGGAACTCATTGTGGTCATGAAGCAGCACCGGGGTGCAGTTCATGGGTGAGAAGCCAATAGCAGGGTGTCCTGCCTGGGAAGGGGGGGATACAGGGTGAGGCCGGGGCTGGGATGGGCACCGCGTGCCCCCCTCTGCCCAGGCACGGCTCCTGCTTGGAGCTGCAGGTTTCACCCTGCTGGGGGGGCACCCACGGGCAGGCTGGCACCACACTCACTGCTCGGATGTAGCGGCTGTCAGTGGCAGCTGGGAAGATCTCAAGTTTGAGCTGCAGCTTCCTAACAAGCAAGATTCTGCATCAGCAGGGGCGCAGGGCAGCCAGGTCCCCACCCCCCTGCCACCCTGTGCGCAAAGAGACCATGCCACGAAGGTCCCTCAGCCCTGCAGGACACTCAGTCCCTTCCCTTTCCAGGGCATGACCCCAGAGACCCCAGGCATCCCCCAGCTCCCACCAGAGGATGTCCCCTTCCTGGGGACACTACCTACATGTCCCTGCAGACCCCACTGAAGGCTTTCCACCATGGGTCTGACTCGTCGGTGGAGGTGATGTGTTGGTCCATGCATTTCTGGGGGAGGGAGAGGGCAGATGAGGGGCAGTATGGTGGGCACAGGGCGGGGAATAGACTGGTGAGATGCACCCAGGTGGCCAAGCCCCCTCACCTGATGGAACTCATAGGTGACACCATCCCCGGCACCACGGCACCACGCGGCCACCTGCTCCTCAAAGGCCTGCAGTGGAGACCAGAGGAAGGGTGTGAGCAGGGCACCCCATAACCCACTCCCCTCCTGCGTGGGGCTGGAACGGTGCCCACCTTCAGGTCCACGGTGGGTGGTATGCGGATGTCGAAGCCAGCCACCATCTCAGAGGGCACCACGTTGAAGGAGACGCCACCCTCCAGCATGGTCAGGTTGAGCGAGGTGACATCCCCTAGGGTCAGGCTTGCGTCGGACTTGAGCCTCGGGGGGCACAAGGGAAAGTCACCTTCCACCAGCTGGGGAAGAGGGGAAGCGATCCCCCACCCCACCACCACCCCCAGGCAGGGAAACTGAGGCACAGGGTGGCGGCACCAGAGCAGAGCCTCCTCGGGATCCCCAGGACCCCCTCCATGGACCGACCTGAAGCCACAGCCATCCTGTCACCCATCTCCTACCTCTGCTTCTCGCTCTCCCTGAAGGCCAGGAAGGAGGTGATGACTTTGTGCTGGGGAGGGAAGGGCGCGGGTGAGGACCAGCCCTGCGGGCAGGCGCCCAGCAGCCGCAGGGCAGGGGAGGGGCGCAGGGTGTGCCCCCTCCTCCCCTCTTACTATCTTCTCGGCTGCCGTGTTGCTGATGAAGCGGGACCCATGCCCCGGGCTACCCACACACTTCACCTTTATCCCTGCAGCAGTGGGGGGAGCAGGAGGGATTGAGGAGAAAGCCCAGGGTGGCACCAGTGGCCCCATGCCTGGCAGAGCTCAGGATGGGGCGGTGGGCACACAGTTACTCACACCATGGGCTCTTCTCGCCGTAGAAGACACTGAAGGTGTCAGACGGGCTGGCCAGGCCTACAGTGGGCAGAGATGGGGGGTCAGCAGTGTATGGGGCTGCCATGACATGCCCCACTCTGCTCTGCCCTGGCAGCACATCCCCTCCAGGCTGGCACCGTGTGGGTCACTGCTCAGAGGAAGGAGCCCCCAGAGGGGGTCCCTGGAAGCTCTGCCCAGTGCTGGTGCCTGGGGGGTGATGCCAACAGGCAGAAGGGTGCGTGCCAAGAGGAGACACGTCCCCACGATCACCCTGCCACCACTCACCCTCATCCAGGGCAAAGCCCACGTTGAGCGCTCTGAACTCGGGGCGCTGCACAAATATCTCCATGCCCTTGTGTCCGCCCACCTCCTCATCTGCAGGGAAGAGCCTGGCATGGAGGAAGGAACCAGGGCAACCCCTGGCTCACCACCCCCTGGCCCCCCTTCCACACTAGCCTGGGTGCCACCAGTGCACCCAGTGTCCTCAGACACAGAAAACCCTCCAGCCTTGAGCCAGGGTAGCTCAAAATCTGGAGAGGCTGGCAGAGGGCTGCCCAGCTGCTACATCACGGGGAACTCCAGAGCGTCACTCAGCTGCCAGTCCCTCCTGTCCCCAAGAGAGGAAACACCCCGGGGACTCACCAGGCACAAACGTGAGGTGGATGGTTCGGGCAAAACACTTTCCTTCTGCCTTTAGCCTCCGTATGGCCTCGAGGTACCTGTGGGGGGAAGGTGTTCCCCAGGCATCACAGAGGAGAGAGGCTGGTGTGCTCTGAGCCACTCCAGGGAGGGTCAAGTGGTGGTACCCTCAGCCCCTGGGACCCTGGTAACGGTGGCATCCTGTCCTGCATCACTCAGAGGGATCCCCGTCACCATGCCCACCCAGTGGGTGCAGAGCCCTCCACTCACTGGATGGAGACACACTTCATGTCCTGGGTACCCCGGGCATAGATGTTGCCTTGCGAGTCCTTGACAGCCTCGAAGGGTGGGTAGGTCCAGTGCTCCTGCCAGGGAACAGTGGCTGGGATGGCAGAGGGGCAGGGTGGGCACCAGCTTCCCTTGGCCTGCCACCCCCGGCCCTCCCCTCTGTGCCCATCCCACCCCTTGCCCTGCCCCAGCACCTCGAAGACGGGCACGACGTCAGTGTGGGAGTTGAGGAGGACGGAGCGCAGGCGGGGGTTCGTGCCTTGCCAGGTCAGGATCAGCACCACACGTCCCTGGCACACCTGTGGGGTGAGGGCAGGACGTCACCAGGGTCCCAGCTGGAGGCAGAGGGGCTGGGACCAGCATCTGGAGCCAAAAAGCATCAGCCAGGGAAAAGTTTGTTGATGCCACCCAGCAGGACATCTCTTTCTGCTCTGGGAGAGGGCAGGCAGCAGGAGCAGGCATGCCTGTACTCCCCAGAACCAGGTGGACCCTGGGAGCTGGTGCAAGACCTGGCTGCAGCTCAGATGGAGGAGAGGATACAAGCCCAGCACCTTCTCCCGGTGCCCAGGAGTCCCCTGGCACAGCCAGTGCCCAGCAGGAGGGACATCTCTAGCCAACGTGACCCTGCCAGGTCCCCAGCTATTCATAGCACAGGCAGCTGCAAAGGTCAGCAGGGACCAGACAGAATACATGCTTAAGGAAGGGCTCAGGTCAGCAGAGGATTACTAGCAGAGGGGATCCACTCCTGCCCAGCTCCGGCTCGGTGGGCAGGGCAACAGCCTGGTCACTAAGGACCTGGGGAGGGAGGGATGGATGGACGGATGGACGGACAGAAGGAGGGCTGCTCTTTACCATGCTCACCTCCACTTTCTGGCAGGCCAAGCCCAGGTCAGTCCCAACACGCTCCAGAAACTGGATGGCTGCATCTGGGGAAGAGCAGGAAAGCCATGAG